ACGTGTGCTGGCAATTCTTCTAATGTATAATGCCAGAGGCGTTCCAGTATGTAAGTGGGTTTTAAACATAAATACCAGAGGCGTGCATGTAAACGTATGTTGATGTCGAAATTAGTTTAAAAGACATTGCAATTAAATATGCTCAAACTAGTACTGGCTTATTGAAAAGATATTTAATACCAGAAGTGTCATATACAACATTAGTTAGTAATCCTTCATATTAAATAAATATCTGAAGAATGTTGTTACTATTACTGTTTATTACTATTTTACGTAAATAGTGATAACAGAAGATGTAATGATAAAATATTTATGTAGATAAGCAAAACATACAAAGTATTGTACGTAATGTGTAGATATTCTTTTTTATAATTTCTAATAATATTAGAAACCTAAGAATGTAAATTCTGTATTATAATTCATAGTAGTATTATAAACGTAGGAATGTTTAAGTTTTTTAAATGAAAAAATGTGAAAAAGCAGATTCTAAATGTAATTTGTTTTTCAGGCGGCTAATACAAAAGAAAAAGGCAAATGCGGAGAAAATAATTAATAAAATTCCACCCAATATCGTAAGTATTGCTAAGAATATTATAGACAATGTGTTTGAAACAAACCTTGACGCTGCAAAACATATTGCTCAGCAGTCAGAATATTTCAATGAAAACAACACCGAGGAAAAAATAACTCGGTTGTATAAAGAAAATACAAATGCAGAAGGAAATGTTCTTCAGCAGCTAGAATATAATAATATACAAACTCCAGAGGAATTTATTAATTCCTCGGAGATTAGTATTGAATATATCGTGGAAGAAATTCCACTGAAAGAAAATCCAGAAAACTTTGTAGAGTCTCAGGCTATAAATACTAACAACGCCATAGAAATTGTTAATATCTATAAACAAACAAAAAACGTTAAGGAAAACAGTTTTCAGCAGTCTGATTCCAGCGTAATTAACACCGTAGAAAAAAATCCAGGTGTTGAAAATGCTGAAGATGATACAGATAATATACCTTATTATGTAGAAGAAAAAATAAGAAAGGGTGAAAATGGGGTGATACTCTATTGACCACAGTACGATTCGACACCGCTCGATTCGACACAGATTTATTCGACACCAAATTATTCGACACCGTA